CGATTACCAGTAACTAAATAAAGAGGATTATTGTTTAATGGATTCTGAGTTTGCCTTTGGGATGATGAAAAAGTTTTCTGAAATAAATAACAGTGATGGTTACACTGTGCATACACATTTTTTTTTTTAGATAGATAGGGTCTAGCCTCAAACTCATTATGTAGCAAAGTCTGGCCTTGAAGGCTCAGCAATCGTGCTTTGGCCTCCCAAATGCTAGGGTTACACATGGGTATGAATATACTTAATGCACTTGAATTGTACACTTAAAACAGATATAGTGATAAACTTTATGTTATATATACTTCAGTTAAATAAGAAAGACTTTAACATTTTTGTGCTTCAAAGTACATTGTTAAGAAAATAAGGGGTCTGGAGAGATGGCTCAGAGGTTAAGAGCACTGGCTGCTCTTCCAGAGGTCCTGAGTTCAATTGCCAGCAACCACATAGTGGCTCATAACTACCTATAATGAGATCTGGCGCCCTCTTCTACTGTGCAAGCAGAAAAATACATAATAAATAAATAAATAAAATTAAAAAAAACAGAAAGGAAAAAGAGGGGATAGAAATGGCTCAGTAGGTAGCGTGTCTGTCACAAAATCATGAGGGATCCCAGTCTGATTCTCTAGCATACCCAGGTATGGACATCTGTACACGTAGCACTGGGGACAGAGCTGGAGATTGGGGGTCAGTTGCTCTGGCCAGTCAGTCATCTCTAGACTCAGGGAAAGATCCTATTTCCAAAAATAAGATGGAAAACCACAGAAGAAAACACATCTCTCCCATGTAGTTTCTTTCCTTGTTGCTGTGAAATTGACCTTGACAAAAGCCACTTAAGGAAGGAGGGATTGATTCTGGTGCACAATTCAAGAGCACAGTCCATCACGGTGGGAAGTCAAAGTGGCCAGAGCATCACATGATAACCAGGAGGTACAGCAATGAATGCAGGTGCTCAGCTCAGCTTCCCCAGACGCACGGTCTAGGACCCCACTAGCCCAGGGAATGGCAACCTAGTCAACAATGTTCCCCAGATATTCTCAATTAACCTAGACAATCCTCACAGTGCCCAAGGCTTGTTTCTTACTTTAGTCAGGTTAGCATTTAACACTATTCACAACTCCCAAGGGTAACCCCCGCACCCACACACACACACACACACACACACACACACACACACACACACACACCATCTATCAGCTTTTGCATGAGTCTTGTTTCTTTTTTTTTCCTTTTTTTATTAGAAAATTATTTTGCATGTCAATCCCAGGTCCCTCTCCCTCCCCTCCTCCCCTGCCCCCCCCAACTAACACCCTACCCATCCCATACCCTTTCTGCTCCCCAGGGAGGATGAGGCCTTCCATAGGGGGGTCTTCAAAGTCTGTCATAGTCTTTGGGATAGGGCCTAAGCCAACCCCCTTGAGTCTAGGCTCAAGGAGTATCCCTCCATGTGGGATGGGCTCCTAAAGTCCATTCCTATGGCAGCGATAAGTACTGATCCATGAGTCTTGTTTCTTTAGATTTCAGATCACACTTTCTGGTTAGCAATTTGGTAGGACAGTGTGGTCTTTCTATAAATGATTTCCATTTTTCACAGTAGCTTTTAAACAAATTAAAGGATGGTAAAATAAACATACATGCAAACTTGTTAAGTCTAGTCCATACCTATTACTATTGTCTGTTATTCATGTTTTTCCTTATACCAAACATGATCTACACCAAGTCTGACAGAATGTTCTGGTTTCTACAGAACTACAATGAAAAGTTACCATGATCATATTATTACGAACAAACCTACTCAGACAATCACATCTTCTCTGACAAACACAAACCTCATACTTATGTTGGGACATGACTATCAACAAAAGCATAAGCTTTTAAACATTCCCAAAAACATTTAGAACTGAACTCAAAACTTGTGCTTTCTCACATTGTTAAATGCTATTGCTTCACACATGAGAGTTGTGATGGCAGGGCTTGTTGTCAATCTGATCTACCTGGAAAGAGGGACTGTAAGTGGGGAACTGCCTCCATCAGAATGGCCTTGTGGGCATGTCTGTGTGGCAATTTTTGAATGTTGATTAGTGTAGGACCCAATCCAGTGTGGGCAGTGCTGTGCCCAGGAAGAAACGTAGCTGAGCAATCCAGAGGAAGCATGACAGTAAGCAGGTCTCTGCTTCGGTTCCTGCCCTGCCTTCCCTCAATAGAAGGTAACCTGAAAGCTAAAATAAACACTTTCCTGATCAAGCTGGTTTTGACCATAGTGTTTAGCACAGAAATAGAAAGCAAACTAGGACCCCACCCAAGCAAAATCTTGGAAAAATCAAACTCAGTGTTTGGACCACTGGAGGCGAAGGATACGCCCTCCCCACTGTACCTTGTGAACTGTACCTTAATTTACTTGTGCTGGATAAGCCACTTATATGGTTGCCAACGTAGAGAAGAGGCAGAGGAAACAGCTTCAATAAAAGGAAAAAGATGCAGTTAGAACTTCATTCGCATGTTTTCCGTGTGTGTGTGTGTGTGTGTGTGCGTGTGCGTGTGTGTGTGTGTGTGTGTGTGTGTGTGATTGTACGCATGTACTTTAGGTGTATGAGAGTATTCTGAGACAGCAAGAGACAGGTGAGTGACCATCTCCCACTTGCACTAACCAACCCCATAACTAACACAGTTCTCCTTGTGTCTGCAAGGAAAGGGGGTCTTAAGCCAGAACTACTCAACCAAGCCTTGCCAAGACGCCTCAATTACTGTTTTGGCCACTACATTATACAGCAAAGAGTAAATGGCACACCCCCAAAGCCCATGGGACCCTGCTTCATGATGAAATACTTAAGCTCTTATTTTGAGGCCAAAGATGCCATTTCCATCAACATGTGCTACACAGCAAAGAAGGAAAAAGAAGTGAAAATTAGGTTGTTGAGGAGTAATTTTGATTGGATAACGTGAACCTACATACAGAAGAAGAAGAAGAAGAAGAAGAAGAAGAAGAAGAAGAAGAAGAAGAAGAAGAAGAAGAAGAAGAAGAAGAAGAAGAAGAAGAAGAAGAAGTAGTAGTCATGGCTAATGGGGCTGGAGAGATAGCTCATCGGTTAAGAGTATTGAATGCTCTTCCAGGGAAACTGGGTTCAAGTCCCAGCACATACATGGCAACTGACAACTGTCTGTAATTCCAAGATCTGATACTTTCACACAGACATAAATGCAGGCAAAACACCAATATACATAAAATAAGAATAAATAAATTTTTAAAAACATGGCTAATAAAGCGTCATTAAAGCTGGGTGTGGTGGCACATGCCTTTAATCCCAGCACTCAGGTGGCAGAGGCAGAAGAATCTCTGTGAGTTTGAGGCCAGCTTGGTATACAAAGTTGAGTTCCAGGATAGGCTCCAAAGCTTATACAGAGAAACCCTAAAAAAATACATATATAAAAAATAAAGCATCCTTAATGCTCCTTATTTTGCACACTGTGAACTGAAGTTCCCAAAAGAGCTGGGAAAGGAAGAGAGATGGGGGGGAGGGAAGGAGGGAGGGAGGGAGGGAGG